ATCTCCAGACACAAAGGGAAAAAGAGGGTCTAGTGTGGATCAGCTGAGCATCTGCGAAGAGCCAATGGAGAGGGCAGGGTCTGTGTCGGGGGTCGGCGGGGGAAGCGTCTCTCTCTGGCTAGGACCCCAGATGTAGGGTGGCCCTCCCATCCCACCTCTCCTCCATCAGCCACATCACAGGTCCATTGAAACACACAGGGCTCTGGGTGTGGGACAGCAGGTGGATGGTGATCTGGTAGCCTAGAATCTGCCACTTCTGTGGCCCCTCTGCCCTTTCCCCGAGGGCCTGCTGACAGGTCTGGGCTGTGTCCTCACTGAATGAATTCCTGCCCGTGGGGTCCTCTCCCTGCTCACCTCACACGAGCTGCCATGTCCCTCTGGAGCCAGGACCGAGGACCACCGGGGAGAACTCTGGTCAGCTGGCATGTTCCCGCCGGGCCTCAGCTCTCAGGCTCTCTTGCTGACGACTCCACTCTTCCCAGGAGCTTGAAGTCAGGTAGACACCTGTGGACTCAATCAGAGCTGCTGGGGCCGGGAGGTGGGTCCTGCAGCCTTCACTGCGGGGTCTGGCCCAGGGGCTCCTCAGAGACTCCAAGAAGCCCTAGAAAGACAGTGCCCACATAGTCCGTCAAGCAGCAGCCACCCCACAGATGCCTCCTGGGGGCACCAAGGCGGGCAGCTCTCTGTGCCGGATACTGTGAAAGAGAGAAGTTTAGTAAAACCGACACCAAGCATTAGCATATAACATGAAAAAAAAAATACTCATAGGATTTGGTATAAAATGAATGAGGCTTTGAATTCCAGGTCTTCTATGTCCTAGCTAGAATCTGGGGCAAGTCACTTTGGTCCGAGTCCCTTCACCTTAAAATTGAGGATGAGGGGCGCCTGGGTGGCGCAGTCGGTTAAGCGTCCGACTTCAGCCAGGTCACGATCTCGCGGTCCGTGAGTTCGAGCCCCGCGTCAGGCTCTGGGCTGATGGCTCAGAGCCTGGAGCCTGTTTCCGATTCTGTGTCTCCCTCTCTCTCTGCCCCTCCCCCATTCATGCTCTGTCTCTCTCTGTCCCAAAAATAAATAAATGTTGAAAAAAAAAATTGAGGATGAAAACACTGGCCTCATAGGGATGTTAGAGATAAATGGTATAAAGCCTCTAAAGCACTCACCCCTGCTTGCTACCTGGAACATATTCCAGTGATATTAAATATTGCTATTATTACAAGGTTGCAAGGCATGTTTTATCAGGTACCTCATTTAATTTTCAAACTCATCCTAGGTAATTCTACTATTATTATTCCCATTTATCATCAGATAGAGGTGTTCAGAGATATCAAGAAATCTGCCCCAAGATCACTCAGATTAGGGGGAAGGACAGGGACTCGAAGCCAGGTACGCGGGGCTCTACAGTACATTTTCTTAACTACCATGCCAGATGGTGTTCTGTACATGGCAGAGTCATAAAAAACATGATTTCCATTTCCTGCTGCCCTTAAAGTGCTCTGGCTAGGGGATGATCATGTCACACGTGTATAAACTGAGTTTCTGTATAATTCAGTGTATGTTCTGGGCAACTTATAAAGCCCACCCTCTTCTGCCATAGATGAAAACATAAACTCATTGCCTCCCTTCCCCAGCTCCCACCTGGGTCCAGAAAACCAGCATGTCCGCATAGGCTCCTAAATCTGTAACCCCCCACTGCTTGACAAAACCATGTCCCAGATGGCACCATCAACTGGTTTCCAGAGGCTCCTCAAATAATCACCAATACAGGCAATTGACCCTCAGTAGAAAACCAATCACTGATCTACTCAATGCCCTTTGAGGGCCAAACCTGACCTCCTAGAGGACCCCATAACTCACAGCCCATATATAGAATGAGGGACTCCCATCAAAACTTCAATAACAGTCCTTCACATACTAACTCACACAGTCCTGCATTTACAGATATCCACAGGTCCCAATCAATGACTCCTAGAGGGCCACCAAAACTGACTCCCGACGATTTGCAATCCCAGGCTTGCAATCAATCATTCACCACCTCCACGTTCCAATCAATAACTCGCATGGGCTAATCGATGCCTTCAGATATTTACATCTCCAACTCTTATAAAACCTCAAGAATTTCCCGATTGTCACTCACTGCTCCAATATGAATCACATCTATAGGCTTTAGATTATCTAATCCTAGTGGACCCTAACTCATTGATCCTCCCCCACAGAAATCCCCCCAATCCTGGACTCCCAGAGGAACCAAATCAACCCCAGATCTGATTTGGCACTGAATTTAAAGGATAAAAAGCAAACCCAAAACACTTCCAGGAAGAAACAACACACTATTTACAACGGAAAGGGCTCACAATGGCACTAGCCTTTTTACCGGCACCAATAGGAATCATAGTAGAAGGAAACATCTACAAATTATTGAGAGAAAAGGGCTGAGATCCGAGAATTTTAAACCCATCCTAGTTCAATACCATTCTTCTGTCAGCGCAAAAGACGATTTTAGACACAAAAGCATCTACAGCATTATGCCAATATTCCTATCTCAGGAGAATACTCCAGGGAATAGTCTAAACAATTATAAACTGAATAGTAACAGAAACCTCCAAATTAGAGGAAAGCAGTCTTGAGAAATGATTCTCATAACACACAGTTATATCTGAATAAAGAAAAATAATGTAATTGGGCATTTTCGATAAATAAGATCATTACTAACTGGAAATTTTAAAATACCCTGGAAAAATCTACTGAGTGAAATGAGGAGGGGAAGGCCAATCAATCACATACCTCTATTAGTAGATCCAAATACTAGTACAACATTATCGGATCTAGTATTAGAGAAAATATAGACCGTCATACTTGTAAGAGAGGTGAAGGCAACTACTAGCAGAAATTGATAAAAATAATCAAAACTCCAAACTATTAGAATCCCAAGATATTAAGACCTTTTGAAAATTATTTTTTACTAATTTTTTTTAATATTTATTTATTTTTGAGAGAGGGAGACAGAGTGCGAGCAGGAGAGGGGCAGAGAGGGACGGAGACACAGAATCTGAAGCAGGCTCCAGGCTCTGAGCCGTCAGCACAGAGCCCGACACGGGGCTCGAACTCACAAGTGGTGAGATCATGACCTGAGCCAAAATAGGATGCTCAACTGACTGAGCCACCCAGGCGCCCCAAATTATTTTTTTTTTAATTTGAGAGAGAAAGAGTGAGCACAGGCAGGGTAGGGGCAGAGAGAAGGACAGACAGAATCTGAAGCAGGCTCCATACCATCAGCACAGAGCCCGATGTAGGGCTCAGATTCACAAACCGTGGGATCATGACCTGAGCCGAGACCAAGAGCTGGACACTTAACTGACTGAGCCACCCAGGCGCCCTGAAATTTAATATGTTACAATTCAACCAAACCGAATGAGCTGAATCCTGCCATAAAAGGTAAAGACGATGGGACCGGTTAACAAAACAAAAATACAATCGCCACACGTCTAAATAAAAAAGACAAAGATGTGAGATGAAGCACTGGACAGAAACATGCTGTGCTATTTATCATTCTTTCTGTTATGGTCAGCACTCATTATGTCTTAGTTAGGAAAGCTTTGCCTACCTCAGGGTCATAAAGATGTCCCATGTTTTCTTAATTTTTATTGTTCTTTCACATTTAGATTTATAGTCCTCTCGGGAAGGGTTTTGGTGCATGGTATGTGTTAGGGTCAAGATTCATTTCTTCCACATGGATATCAAGGTGATCCAGCATGGCTTACTGAAAAGACTACCCTTTCTCCACTGCTCTGCAATGTTGCTCTGTGACTGTATAGGTGGAGGTTCATTCCTGAACTCTGTATTTCCACTGGTCTATTTGTCTATTCTTGGACCAGCACTACCGTGTCTTAATTCATGTGCCTCATATCAGGTTTTGCTATCTGGTAGAATAAAAGGTTATTAAATTAGACTACACTAACATTAAAGACCTCTGTTCATCAGAAGATGAAATTAAGAGTGTAGGGGCGCCTCGGTGGCTCAGTCGGTTGAGCGTCCGACTTCGGCTCAGGTCATGATCTCGCGGTTCGTGAGTTCCAGCCCCGCGTCGGGCTCTGTGCTGATGGCTCGGAGCCTGGAGCCTGCTTTGGATTCTGTGTCTCCTTCTCTTTCTGCTCTTCCCCTGCTCACACATAGTCTCTCTCTCTCTCAAAAATAAATAAAAATTAAAAAAAAAAACCCAAAACTTTGAGTGTAAAGGCAAATCCCACAGTGGGGGAAGTTAACTGCAATACCTGTATCTGACAAACAATTCATGTCTCGAATGTATCAGGAATTCCTAGAAACCAATAGGAGCCAGAGGAAAAGAGCAAAAGGAACAGGAACTTCCCGAAGAAGATACCCGAGTGGCGAATAAGCCGAGGAAAAGATGCTCAACTTCATTAGTTAGCAAGGAAATATAAACTGCAATCAGACATGCCTTCATGCCCACCAGAAATGGCTAAAACGAAAACGATGGCAAATAACCAAGGGACCCGGTGAGGATACGAGGGGCGGAAACCCGTAAGTTGTTTTTAAGGAGCACAAAAGAGTACAAACACTTTGCAGAGCTGTTGGGTGTGGTATTATCTACGAAAGCGGAACATAGGCAATATCCTCCTAGGAGTGTACTCCTGAGAAATGCGAACACATGTTCACTGAAAGACAGGATATGTTCAGGGTGGCTTTATTCAAACCTGAAAATTAGGCAAACGCCCATCAACATCAGACTAGATAAATAAATGGTCTTACAGTCATACAAGGAAGTACTATACAGCAACAGGAATGAACAAGTGACTACAGACAACACACATGAATCTCATCTAATGCATCGGCCAAAGAAGCCAGACCCAAAAGAGCTATGAGTCAACACTGTACGATTGTGTTTATATAACTTTCGAACACATGTAAAACCAATCTATTGCCGCTAGAAGGCAGGATATTGGTCCCTCGTTGGGAGGAGGTTGGGGATTGGAAAGGAACACAAGGGGGTGTCGTCTGGGTGCTAGTCACGTTCTATTTCTTAATCTAGGTGGTGGTTGTGTGTGTTCGCTCAGTCTGTTAAAAAATCATCAAGCTAAATGTGCATAATCTGTGCAGTTTTCTGTATTATAATTAAACATTTAAAAAACATATGACACACCAGGCAAGTGCAAGAAAATGCAAGCACATCTAGAAATATGATGATTGAGGTGGAAATTAAGCCCAAAGTGCTCAATACATTAACAAAGGGGGCCATTTTAAATAATAAAATATACAATAAAGAAGGATGTAAACCTTTGCATAAACCTTTAGTGGTCATTCAATATATGCAAATAAAAGTAGCACAGATGCATGAACTCACATGAAGTCTTTTTTTTTTTTTTTTTTTTTTTTTTTTTTTAGAGAGAGAGCATGAGTCAGAGAGAGGGGCAGAGGGAGAGGGAGGGAGAGAATCCCAAGCAGGTTCCATGCTCAGTCAGCACAGAGCCCAATGCGGGGCTCAATCTTACAATCCTGGGATCATGACCTGAGCCAAAATCAAGAGTCAGATGTTCAACCAACTGAGCCACCCAGGTACCCCAAAACCACATGAAGTCTTAAAAATCATAATTATGGAGACTTCCTCTTGTGGAGATGGAGTAGATATGTTTAACTGTTTTTTCTGCTACATACAACTAACAAGTGTGGACATTATATATAAAACATAGGAAGATTCTGAAAGAAATGAAGAAGGCATATTGGCTAGGGATCCTGAGACCCCAAAAACGATGTGGCAGTACGGGGTTTTCTTTTAGCCTCAGATATCCTAGACTTGGTGCTGGAGAAGCCAGCAACCTAGAAAGGCCAATGGGTGCAGACAAAAAGTGCCCAAAGAAAAGCCTGCTCTCTCTAGTCAAAGGACCAGGGAAGAGGCAGTCTAGGAAGATAGAAAACTTTCAGACAATGATGGCTCTACTCAAGCCAAGCACCACAGAAAACACTGGGGTCCCACCATCATCACTAATAGCAAAGGCCAAGTGGAGAGCCCATACTCCCACCCTTGACAAATTGTAACTTCTTACAGTACCCCCAGCCCAACAACCCTTGCCCCCTGCCAAGGCGGTATCAGAGAAAGCCCATTAGGGTGCTGGAGCTTTCTGCCTTGCTGGGCAATAGTAACCACTGCCTCTTCCTCTCCCACCCATTGGTGACAGTGGAGACAATGTGAGGAGTCTGGGCTCCCATCCTCACCCAGAGCTAACACAGTGTCCTCCCTTCTCCCCACTGAGTGATGTCAGAGGAGGCCTACTAGAGCTCTCACCAAGGCTCAGCAGTAACTAGGCCACTTCTGCCAACAATGTCAAGGGGCATCAAATGGGAAGCAGTGACAAGGCACCTATCTCCCTCCCAGTCAGGGTGGCATCAGCAGAGGCCTGGGGGAAGCATGAACTCCTACCCCAACTGGGCAATATAAGGGACCCCCCCCCCCCCCCCCGCCGCAAAGAGGCCAAGTGGAGTAATGAGCTGACATCTCCCTTCACCCAACGGAGGTCTGTCAAAGGACGCCTGTGAAAACATGAGAGTTAAATGAATTCCAGAGCCTCTTAATTTAATACCCACATGTCCTAGACACGATGAAACATCAGATGTCATACCAAGAACCGGGAACACCTCAGCTGGAAGGAGGAAAGATTACTGAGCAGATGCCAACACTGAAACCCCAACAGATGCCGGAACTGCCTGACAAGGATTTTAGAGCAGCCATCGTAAACACACTTCACTGGGCAATTATGAAGAATGCCTAACACAAATGAGACAATAGAAAACCTCAGCGAAGAAATACAGGCATTTGCTCACTTCGTGTCTCTGTGTCACGTTTTGGTAATATAGTTCTCGTAATGTTTCAAACATTTGCACTATTCTTATATTTATTGTGGTGACCTGTGGCCAGTGACCTTGGACGTTACTATTATAATAACGGTTTTGGGGTGCCACAAGCCACCTCCATATAACCAGCCACAACATTCCCTTAAGCCAAAGCCTAATCCCCAGCAAGGCACTCACTCCTTTCAATTCTCTGAAGGCTGAGAGAGGTGAGGAAGTTGCAGAAAAAAAGTTTGATGCTGGCAGAGGTCGGTTCATGCATTTTAAGGAAGGAAGCCACCTCCATAACATACAAGTGTAAGGCAGAGCAGTGGGTGCTGATATAGAAGCTGCAGCAAATTATCCAGAAGATCCAGCTCAGATAATGAAGGTGGCCACACCAAACAGTAGATTTTCAATGTAGACGAAACGACCCTCTATTGGAAGAAGGTGCCATTTAGGACCAGAAGTAAATGGCACAACATTTTTCCTTTAAAAAAATTTTTTTTAATGTTTATTTTCAGAGACAGAGAGAGAGAGAGAGAGACAGACAGACAGAGACAGACAGAGACAGAGCGTGAGTGGGGAAGGGGCAGAGAGACAGAGGGAGACACTGAATCAGAAGCAGGCTCCAGGCTCCAAGCTGTCAGCACAGAGCCTGATGCGGGGCTTGAACCCACGAACCACAAGATCATGACCGGAGCTGAAGTCAGATGCCCAACCGACTGAGCTACCCAGGCGCCCCGAACAACATGTTTCAAGTGCTAAAAGGAAAGACTTGTTAGCCTAGCATCCCATGCCCATAGAAGATATCCTTCAGGAATGAAAGAAGTATTGAGACATTTTCAGGTCAAGGAAAAGCAGGAATTTATTACCAGCAGGCTTACCATAAAAGAATGGCTATAGGAAGTTCTCTAACCAGAAAGGAAATGATGAAAGAAAATGGACCATCAGTAAGGAAGAAAGAATATGGAAAGAGCAAAAAATATAGGTAAATATACTATGCTTTCCTTCTCTTAAGTTTTCTAAAATAGGTTTGACAGTTGAAGCAAACATTATAACCCCATCTAATGTGGTGCTCAATGCATATAAAGGAAATATATAAGACAATTATATTAAGACAATGAATAGGGGAGGATAAAGAGAAAAGGGGTAAGGAAGATCTCCACACTTCGCTGAGAGTGGTAAAATGATGCCAATAGGGGCGCCTGGGTGGCTCAGTCGGTTAAGCGTCCGACTTCAGCCAGGTCACGATCTCGCGGTCCGTGAGTTCGAGCCCCGCGTCAGGCTCTGGGCTGATGGCTCAGAGCCTGGAGCCTGTTTCCGACTCTGTGTCTCCCTCTCTCTCTGACCCTCCCCCGTTCATGCTCTGTCTCTCCCTGTCTCAAAAATAAATAAAAACGTTAAAAAAAAAAATGATGCCAATAGACATTGATAAGTTGTGTATATGTTACACAATACATAAAACACCTGGCAAAAAAAAAGCTCCATAAGGAGATCCTCCTGCAAATACTAGATAATCAAAATGGAATTCTTCAAAATGTCCACATACCCCAAAGAAAGGGGAAAAATAAAGGAGAAAACAAAAACAGAGAGAACAAACAGAAAACACAAAATATGACAGGCTCCAACCTTAACATATGAATAGTTATATAAAGTGTAAATGGTATAAATGCACTAATTAGAGACAGAAATTGGCAGATTCAATTTAAAAAATCATGATCCAGGGGGCACCTGGGTGGCTCAGTCAGTGGAGTGTTCGACTCTTGATTTCAGCTCAGGCTCAGGTCATGATCCCAGTGCTGTGGGATCAAGCTCCGTATTGGGCTCCATGCTGAGTGTGGAGCTCTTTCTCTCTCTCTCTAAAATAAAAAAATAAAAAATAAAAAATCGTGACCCAACTATGTACTGCCTACAAGAAATGTGCTTCAAATATGATGATATATGTAGGTTGAACTAACTAGAGTTTAAATAAAAATTTGAAAAAAAATAAAATAATAAAAATTGAAAAGGAAAGCTGTATCATGCAAACATTGATTAAAAGGAAGCAGGAGTGAACTTATTAATATTGGATAGAGTAGTAGACTTCAGAGTAAAGAAAATTACCAGGGACATACAGAGACATTACATAATGATAAGAGGGTCAATCCGCCAAGAAGACATAGCAATTTTAAGTGTGTATACACCATGCAATAGAATTGCAAAATATATGAAGCAAAATTTGATGAAACTGAAAGGAGAAATAGACAAAAGTCACAATTATAGTTGGAGGCTTCAATACCCTTCCTTCGGCAACTGACAGAACAACTGGACAGAAAATCAGCAAGGTTAAAAAAAGAATTCACGAACACCATCAACCGACTGGATCTGAGCAACATTTATAGAACATTCCACCCAACAGTAGCAGAATATACATTCTTTTTAAATGTCCACAGAAAATAGACCATAAAGACCATATCCTAGACAACATGACAAACCTCAACAACTGTAGGAGAATTGAAATCACACATAGTATGCTCGCTGACAACAATGGAGTGAAACCAGTAATCAAAACAAAAAGGGAACAGGAAAATCCCCAAACACTCAGAAACTCAACAACATCTTCTAAATAAACCACAGGTCAGAGAGGAAATCTCAAGGGAAACTTAAAAAAAATTTTTTTTAATGTTTATTTATTTTTGAGACAATGCAAGAGACAGAGTGCAAGCAGCAGAGGGACAGACAGAGGGAGACACAGAATCTGAAGCGGGCTCCAGGCTCCGAGCTGTCAGCCCAGAGCCCGACGCGGGGCTTGAACTCACGAACTGTGAGATCATGACCTGAGCCGAAGTCGGACGCTTAACCGACTGAGTCACTCAGGTGCCCTGTCTCAAGGGAAATTTTTTAAAAATACATGGGGGGCGCCTGGGTGTTTGTTTATTTTTGAGAGAAAGAGAGACAAGAGACAGAGCATGAGCAGGGGACGGGCAGAGAGAGACTGAGACACAGAATCCGAAGCAGGGTCCAGGCTCCGAGCTGTCAGCACAGAGAGCCCGATGCGGGACTCTAACCCACAACGGTGAGATCATGACCTGAGCCAAAGTCCCAACTGATTGAGCCACCCAGGTGCCCCAGTGTGTGCTATTTCTTTCTGCTGAACTTTTGTACATCAATGGCCCCCAGCTTTCAGTATTTCAGACTCTGCAAGGGAGGGGGTGAGGTGCTTCCACTGTGACATGAGAGGTGTGTGAATTGTATCTAAGTTTAGTTTAATTTCTATTTCCTTGCTAACTAATGGAGTAAAGGATCTTTTCCGATGCTTATTTGCCATTTGGCTGCCAGGGGACCTGCTAGCTATGAGAAAAGAATGCACACTCCTGATGCTGATCTCGCTCTGTCTCTTCTCCGTGTGAGTAAAGCATTGTTCCATTCCATGCTTGACTGTGTTGTGTTTTCCTTGGTGACTCTGATACCAAAGTGCAGTGGGCAGAAGTGTTGGGAGTCCTCCCCTGGGATTGATAACCAGTGCCCAAGACACTGCTCCATAAACTAAAGGAGTGCTGTAAGTGAAATTTATGGCACTAAATGTTTACAAGTAAAAAGGAAAAAGCCTCAAGTTAGTAATCTAAACTCTCATCTCAAGAAATTAGAAAAGAAGGGGTGCCTGGCTGGCTCAGTCGGTAGAGCATGCAACTCTTGAGCTCAGGGTCATGAGTTAGAGCCCCACATTGGGTGTCGAGAGTACTCAGAAATAAAGTCCGAAAAAAAAAAAAAAAAGAAATTAGAAAAGAAGAACAAAGCAAACCAAAGCCAACAGCAGAAAAGAAATAATAAAATAGGAGCAGGAATCAAGGACACTGAAAACAGAAAAACAATAGAGAAAAACAATCAATCATAGGGCTGGTTTTCCAAAAAGAATAATAAAATAAACAAACCTCTATTAATATTGATAACGAAAAAGTCAGAGACACAAATGATTAATATTAGGAAGGAAATAGGGGATGTCACTATAGGCCCTGAAGACATCAAAAGAATAATAAAGAAATACAATTATAAATTTGACAACTTATATGAAATGGACTAATTCCTCGAAAAGTACAAACTACCACAACTCTTCCACTATGAAATAGTTCATTTGAATAGCCTCGTAACTATTAAGGAAACTGAATTTGTGATTTTAAAAATAACGCTTGAAATAGGTACCCGGGGTGCCTGGGTGGCTCACTTAGTTGAGCATCCGACTCTCGATTTCAGCTCAGGTCATGATGCCAGGGTTGTGGGATTGAGCCCCACATCAGGCTCCACATGTGTGGAGCCTGCCTAAGATTCTCTATTTCTCTGTCTCTCTCTCTCTCTCTCTCTCTCTCCCCCTTGCTCGTGCGCGCTCTCTAAAATTAAAAAAAATTAAAAAGAAAAAAGAAATGTCTAGGCTAAAATGGTTTCACTGGAGGTTTCCACAAACTTCTCAAGAAGAATTAACATCAGTCCCACTCCATCTCTTCCAGAAAATAGAAGAGAGAATTCTTAACTCATTCCCTAAAGCCTGATACCAAAATGAGACAAAGAGTACAAAAAATACACTGTTGATGTGCTAATGTTTTCCCACTGGGTTTATACCTGGTCTGCATAGCAAATTTTGCATTCTGTCATCAGCTGTATTTGAAAATAGGATGTTTCTTGATGAATTATTCTATTACCTAACCAAAAAAGTCTTAAAAAAAAAACTACAGACCAATATCCTTCATGAACATAGATGCAAAAATTCTTAACAAAATATTAGCAAATATAATTCGGCGATATACAAAGAGAATTGTACACCGTGACCAAGGGGGGTTATTTCAGGAATGCAGGATGAACTCAATATTTGAAAATTAATCAATGTAATCTACCATATTAACAGGCCAAAGAAGAAAAAATCACATGATCATATCAATCAGTGCCGAAAAAGATTTGACAAAATCCAACACCCATTCATGATAAAAAAAAAAAAAAGAAAAACTCTTAGAACCTTGGAATAAAAGGAAACTTTGTCAACTTGATTAAAAAAGACCTACAAAAAAACCTATAACTAACATATTTAATAGTGAGAGACCGAATGTCCCCTAATATCAGGAACAATGCAAATATGTTGACTATTACCACTTTTTTTTTAATTAAACATTTTTTTATGTTTATTTATTTTTGAGAGAGAGACAGAGACAGAGTGTGAGTAGGGGAGGGGCAGAGAGACAGGGAGACACAGAATCCAAAGCAGGCTCCAGGCTCCGAGCTGTCAGCACAGAGCCCGATGAGGAGCTCAAACTCATGAACTATGAGATCATGACCTGAGCTGAAGTCGGATGCTCAACCGATTGAGCCACCCAGGTGCCCCTCACCACTCTTATTCAATATAGTAATGAAAATTCTAACCAGTGCAATAAAGCGAGAAAAAGGAATAAAAGGCATACAGGTTGAAAAGGAAGAAATAATACTGACCCTATTTGCAGATAACATGATGGTCCTGATAGAAAATCCCTAGGAACTTACACAAAAACTTCTAGAAGTAATGACTTCAACAAGGTTATGGGACACAAGAACAATACACAAAAGTCAGCTGTACTTTTTATACTACAAATGAACAGGTGAAACAAATAAATGCAATAATTTACAGCACTCAGAAAATGAAATATTTAGGTGTAAATGTAACAAAACATGTATAGGGCTCGCATGCTGAAAACTAGAGAATGTTGATGTAAGAAATCAACAGAGATCTAAATAAATGGAGAGAGCTACTGTGTTTATGGTTTGGCAGCCTTAACATAGGAAAAATATCAATTCTCCACAAGTTGACATACAGACTTAATAGAATTCCTATTAAAATCTCGACAAGAAGTTTTTGTAGACATAGGCAAAGTTATTGTTTTCTTTTAAAAATTTTTTAACATTTATTTATTTTTGAGACAGAGAAACAGAGTGTGAGCAGGAGAGGGATAGAGAGAGAGGGAGACACGGTATCCGAAGCAGGCTCTAGGCTCCAAGCTGTCAGCACAGAGCCCAATGTGGGGCTCGAACTCACAAAACGTGAGATCAAGGCCCGAGCCAAAGATGAATGCTTCACTGACTGAGCCACCCAGGAGCCCCTCTTTTTAAAAAATGTTTATTTATTTATTTTGAGAGAGACAGAGAGCGAGCACAAGTGGGGGAGGGGGAGAGAGAGAGGGGGAGAAAGAATCCCCAACGAGGCTCTGCACTGTGAGCACAGAGCGCACCGTGGGGCTCGAACCCACAAACTATGACATCACGACCTGAGCCAAAACCAAGAGTCAGACGCTCAACCGACTGAGACACCCAGGAGCCCCTGGGCAAAGGTGTTCTTAAATTTATGTGGGAGGACAAAGGATCTACAATAGCTAAAACATTTCTGACAAAGAAACAGGAGAAATCAATCTACCTGATTTCAAGACATTTTATTTAACTACAGGATTCAAGACAATGTGGTACTGATGAAGGGCAGACACACACATCAGTGACACTGAAGAGAGAACCCAGAAATAGCCCCACACAAGTAGAGCCAACTTTTTTTTTTTTTTTTTTTTTTTTTTTTTTT